TCTTGACCTCCTAGGCTCAAGTGATTCTCCCATCTCAGCCTCTTGAGTAGCTGGAACTATGGATGTGTGCCACCACGCCTGGCTAATTTTTTTAGTTTTTTGTAGAGATGAAGTCTTGCTATGTTGCTTAGATAGGTCTTGAACTCCTGGGCTCAAGCAATCTTCCCAAAGTGCTGGGATTACAGTTGTGAGCCACCTTACCCAGCAAAGCAGATAATTTTCTATAAAAATGCAGTTTACCAAAAATGGCCCCGATGAAGAAAATCTAAACAGGGAAGTTTCTTTAGTGAAGACATGAAGAATACTTTAAATAAACAAAAAAATCTAGACTCAAGATGGTTTCACAGTGAAATTCTGAAATCTTAAAGATGTGATCATCCCAAACCTACTTAACCAAGAATGGAGAAAAAAGGAAAGCTTCAATTAAAAAAAAAGTATGAAGTTGATGCTAAAGCTTAGTAGAAATTGCATAAAGATAAAACTACAACTATTCTAACTTATAAATATCAATGTAAAAATACCAAATAAAATATTAGTCAATAGAATCCAACATCAATTTAAAAAATACATCATGACCAAATAAAGTGACATTTATTTATTTATTTATTTATTAAGAGACAAGGTCTCTCTCTGCCACCCAAGTTGGAGTACAGTGGTGTGATCATAGCTCACTGAAGCCTCGAACTTCTGGGCTCAAGTGATCCTCCTGACAGCCTTCCGAGTAGCTGGGACTACAGGTGCACACCATCACACCCAGCTACTTTTTTTTTTTTTTTTTTACTTTTCTAGAGACACAGACCTTGTTATGTTGCTCAGGCTAATCTGAACTCCTAGCCTACAGTGATTTTCCTGTATTTACAGTGCTGGGATTACAGGAATCAGCTATTGTGCCTGGTCCTAAATGGAGTTCATTCCAGAAATGCAAGAATGGTTCAACATCAGCAAATCTATTAATATGTCTAATGGGGAAAATATGATATTTCTATAGATATTGAAATGGAATTTGATAAAACATTGATACCCACTATTGAATTTTTTTTCTTGAGTTGGAGTCTCACTCCATTGCCCAGGCTGGAGTGCAGTGGCACGCTCACGGCCACCCCAGCGTTGATCTGCTGGGCTCTGGCAATCCTTCGGCTTCAGCCTTCCAAGTTGCTGGAACTAAAGGTGCATGCTACCATGCCCAGTTAATTTTTGATTTATTGTAGAGACAAGGTCTCACCATGTTTCCTAGGCTAGTGTCAAACCCACAGGCTCAGGTAATCCTCTCGCCTCGGCCTCCCAAAGTGCTGGGATTATAGGCTTGAGTCACCATGCCTGGCCTGAGTTTTTTTTTTTTTTACAAAACTCAATAAAATGGGCATTGATAAATTCTTCATCATGCAAAATATATAAGCTATCTCAAAAGCCAGCATCTTACTTAGTAGGGAAACACCGGCAGCAAGTCTACTAACATTGCAAACAATGCAACGATGCTCACATTGCCATTATCATTTAATATTAATTAGAAGCACTGTCCAAAGCAGTTAAGTAGAAAAGGTAACCAGAGGCCTAAAATTTCAAAAGGAAAAAGAAAACTAGACCTATTGTCTACCTAAAAAAACCCCAAGGGAGTCAATTAAATGATAATGCCAATCAGATGCAGTAGCTCACACCTGTAATCCCAGCACTTTGGGAGGCTGAGGCAGGAGGATTGCTTAAGCCTAAGAATTCAAGATCAGCCTGGGAAACATAGCAAGACTTCATGTCTACAAAAAAAAAAAATTATCCAGGCATGGTGGGCATGCCTGTAGTCCCAGCTACTTAGGAGGCTGAGGTGGGAGGATCCCTTGTGCCCAGGAGTTTGAGGCTGTGTGAGCTTGTGATTGTACCATTGTGCTTTCGCCTGGGCAACAGAGTAAGATCTCAACTCAAAAAAATAGTAATAATAATAACTCCAAACAAAAAATTCAATTGATGTGGCAAATTGTAAAATTAGCATACAAACATCAATAAGACTTTACATAGACACAATTCTTAGAACATTATAGGTGAGAAGACCCCACTTATAATGGCAACAAAAAAGATAAACTTTCAAGAAATAACTTATCAAGAAATGTAAAAAATAAGTTATGAGGAAAACTATAAAACACTCCTAAAAGAAAAAAGAATAAATAAAAAGGCATTAATTCTTAGAAGACTCAATGTTATAAAAATGTCAGTTAGCTCTGTTTCCATATATGTTAGCCTGATATCAATCCTAGTAATTTGGTTTTTTGTTGCAACTGTACTTATTAATTCTAAAGCTCATATGGAAAACAGGATATGCAAACATAATAATAATTCAAAGACTCTGAAAGAGAGCAATAAATTGCTTTATCATTTATAAAAACATACCATAACGCCTCTCATTTTAACAGTGTGATATTTGTATAAGAATAGACAAATGGAACAGGATAGAAAGTTCAGGGTCCAAGAATATATAAAAATTCAATGTATGATAAAAGTGACATATCAATGGAAAAAGACAGACTTTTATGTTTTGTTTTGTTTTGAGTTGGAGTTTCACTCTGTCACCTAGGCTGGAGTGCAGTAGCACTCTCACGGCTACCCCAATGTCGACCAGCTGGGTCCGGCGATCCTTCTGCCTCAACCTTCCAAGTAGTCGGAACTACAGGTGCATGCTACCACGCCCAGCTAATTTTTGATTTATTGTAGAGATGAGGTCTCGCCAAGTTGCCTGGGCTGATCTCAAACCCGTGGGCTTAGGCAATCCACTAGCCTTGGACTCCGAAAGTGCTGGGATTACAGGCTGAGTCACCCAGCCTGGCCAAAAGACAGACTTTTAAACAAATGGTATTGACATTACTGGATAACGTTTTGGGAAAAGTTACATACATAACTTTTACTATGTATTAGATTCAATTCCAAATGAATTAGAGATTCACATATTAAAAGGGAAGAAGGTTGTCAAAAAAATCACGGAAAATACGTGTGAATTCATTCTTAATCTGGGAAAGGAAAAATATGTCTAATGATTTCTCAACATCCACATCTATAATCTACACCCCAAGAGAAAAATATCCAAATACATGTATAGACGGTTCACTTAAAAATGCATATGGAGGCTGGCACAGTGGCTCACATCTGTGATCCCAGCACTTTGGGAGGCCAAGGTAAGAGAGAATTGCTTGAGCTCAGGTGTTTGAGACCAGCCTAGGCCACACAGTGAGACCTCATCTCTTAAAAGAAAAAAAGAAAAAGGCAAATGGACTTTAACATATGAAGAGATGATACTCAAGTGTACTCATACTAAAAGAAATGCATGCTAAAACTACACTTCTGGCCATGGTGCCATTACTAGGAGTGGACTTTCTCACTGGGAAGAAAACTAGAAAACTTGATAGAATATATGGAAAAAAATGTTTTCAGAGCTTGGCAACCACAAAATAGACCACGAGAAAGACCCAGAGCAGATCCCTGAGAAAAAGTAACTAACTGGAGATACTAACTGGAGATACTTCCTAGACCATACTATGGGAACACAGACAACAGCAGGTTCTCCGAAATGAGTTAGAATTCAATTTGGAGGTCAGAATCCTGGAGTGCCAGTTGCTACACAGAGAAAGAGCTCTAGAAATCTGCATCAGGGTCCTCTTGAGTCAGTTCCTGACGCACTCAAAGTCGGGCAAAGGGTGAGTAGGTAGCTGCAAACGGAGTTAATTCTCCTCATCTTGTGATTTCAGCCAGCAAGATATTCTAACCCTGTCGAGTATTCCATGCCCAAAGAAATAAATGGGATCAGTTATTCTCCCAGGGACTCTAGATTCTTTTCAGGAAATTGTTTATAGATTGAATTCGGAATGCCAGAGTGAATATTAGAATGTTTCTGCTAAATTCTAACACTGCTGGAAAAAGTAACTAACTGGAGATACTAACTGGAGATACTTTCTAGACCATACTATGGGAACACAGACAACAGCAGGTTCTCCGAAATGAGTTGGAATTCAATTTGGAGGTCAGAATCCTGGAGTGCCAGTTGCTACACAGAGAAAGAGCTCTAGAAATCTGCATCAGGGTCCTCTTGAGTCAGTTCCTGACGCACTCAAAGTCGGGCAAAGGGTGAGTAGGTAGCTGCAAACGGAGTTAATTCTCCTCATCTTGTGATTTCAGGCAGCAAGATATTCTAACCCTGTCGAGTATTCCATGCCCAAAGAAATAAATGGGATCAGTTATTCTCCCAGGGACTCTAGATTCTTTTCAGGAAATTGTTTATAGATTGAATTCGGAATGCCAGAGTGAATATTAGAATGTTTCTGCTAAATCCTAACACTGCTGGAGTGATGCTGCTGTAAGAATGTTTCACGATAGAGCTTAAAATATGTTTGTAAAAAGCCATGCGTTCATATTAACATTGCCCCAAATTACTATAACCTTAATAACATGTCTCCTTAAAAACTTAAAACCCGTACTCACACTGAATTGTGTTTCTTGGAAACCACACAATCATCCCTTTAACTGAAATCGATCATTTCTTTTTCTTTTCTTTTTTACCTTTTAAGCCTTCTTTCCTCCACCGCCCTACCCTCAAAGCCAAAGAAACACATTACTTTGTTCTCGAATCACTTAGAATAAATTTCAGTTCGGTCCTGATGAGATAAACCGGCCGGGGGTG